TGTTGCTGTTTGGAGCATTGATATGCAGCACAGAGTGGTCTGTGATGTAAGCTATGACAAATACACTGTGATCATTGTCTCTTTGACTTCTTTTTTCCCATGGTCTTACCATGCATGAGTGCTCCACACTGCAGTGCTTGTTGTCTAAGACAGACACAGAACAGCACCATGTTTTGTGAAGTTTATTGGAAAATGAGTTCAGACTTAAGAGGAAAAACTGAAAAAAATACACATTAGTAAACATAAGAATATATTCTCAGTATGACTTGAATAATACATTAATCTGGAAGCTGTTCTGAAGTCTTTGAAAAAGTAAATAGGAGTCATACTTCATAGAGATACAACTGCAATGAATACACGTACATGTAGAACAGCAGACTGATGAAAACTCTTAAATTATTTTTAATAAAAAAGTACGCAAAAAATAATTAATATAATAAACTGCACACACTCAAGTGTGAGGTCCGTTTGCTCTTATTTCCATGGTAAATATGTTTTTGTGGTAAATGTTTAGTAATTTATTGTTAATCTATTCTATTACTACACTTTACTGAGACAGACCTCTTAACAAATGTTTGACACTGTTAATCCTGCACTCATCGTTCTGTTTTATTCACTGCTGCAGGGGTCTGACTATACTACTGTGACCTCTATTGTAGCATACTCAGGAGGAGAGAGGTGTTCACAGATGTACATGCATGCACACACCCTCATACACACATGCACTGACAGAGACATCTGCAGGTCATCATCATCATAGTGGGAATAATACCAGGGATGGTTATCATAAAGGGAAGCTTTAAGCTCCCAGCCGTCTTGGGAAGATGATTTGGCTTGTGTGGAACAATGAACTGTGGGAATCCGCTTGTCCTGCATTGATCTTCCTCCCATGGCATCCCCTGCAAGGCTGTCAGAGCGACGGACAGATGAAAAGACCCACAACATTTTTCTTTCTCTTCCTATCGCTCCCTCCTGGTGTCTCTCTTTTCTTGCTGTCAGGAAGACTCCTACCGATCAGTGGGAATGAGCTGAAAGTTGAACTACCTGTTGACAGGACCTCTTAAACAGCTCTCAATGATACATTGTTCAAGAAAAGAAGGAAAAGCAGTGCCTCCTCTTCATTCATCCCTATTACATATCTATTGAGTCTGCTCTCATCAAATCCTGACTGCCTTTTTGTTATTTTTCAGTATACAAGCTGAACTGCGGTTATGATATATGCTTTTGCGCTATTTATTTATTTTTTTCAAACTGAATGAATTAGTAAAAACCACCTGAAACCGAGCAAAGCATGAAAAGCCAAGAAAAGATTAATATATTGTGTGTACCTGGATATAAAAAACAAAGTAACCCAACCATCTTTTACCCAAAGTTACTGAATAGATTAGATATAGACAACACTTTATTAATCTTCTTGTGGGTTGAATTCAGGAGTTTTGAAAATATGTGTACAGTCTGTTTTATTAATAAATCTGAGTGTCCCTACAGGTTGTTCAATATTTTCTTAGTATTCTAATCTCTGCACCTGTAAAATATGGTAAATATCCATTTGTTACATCCATCTTCAAAACCAGAATGCTATTGTGAAATTCCCTGTGTCATTAATTATTTGGTACAAAAATTATTGAATTTAGCATATTGTGAATAATGATTGATTTGTTTAATGCTAGGAATTTGTTCATGAGGACTTAATGAGATATTGTATTATGATAAGTTCATGGGATTTGTGTCGATAAATGCCAAAATAACAAAGTGAAGTCCAACTAATGGCTTTTCGATCCTTTTTGCCACCCACCCCTACCCATCTTTGTTTTAAATGTCACGGAAAAGTTTTATCATGAACTCCAGCCTGACAGCAAATTCAAAAAGAATGTTTAAGATTAGGTTTTTTATTATTTATTTTAATAGAATGTATAATAGGTAACAATTCCTAATACTGAAACTGTCTTTGATGCGCAATAATTCATATGTTTAGAATTAGGGAGCAGCACATTTAAATCCCAAATGCATTTATGATGCGTGCTGCTATTGATAAGACAGAAATGAACTGAGCACATTTAAATGGTGACTGAAATACACTTCCATTGTGTTACAGATACCACTTATAATTAAGCTGAGGATTGAAGAAAACCAAGTGAAATCACTTTCTTTGCATGTATAAGTGTGCAGAGGATTTGATGTGTTTATGGGTGCACATGGTGCTTTTCTGAATATTAAACCACAAACTATAAAGACAACAACTGAACAAAACTCATCGTGAGAAAATGCTAAAGGAAGTCTTTGTGGTTTTAGAGGTATCAGAGGAGCCAATAGTTTTAATGAGGCAGCAATGCTGCACATGCAAGGAAATGATAAGGTTATACAGGTTAGAATAACGGCAGACAAATACTGTACCAGTAAAAAAGTGCACGTTCTTTAAATACAAAGCTACATGGCAGTGCTGGCAAAAAAGGAGTTATTTTCTGTTCAAAGGCGCTAAAACTCTTCAATAATATGACTGGTAAGAATAAAACAAAAACGAAAAACTCAGGCTTAATCCTTTAGAAATATGATGCTCTTTTATTAATGGTGCTTTAAATAGCTTTTTATGTGGATGGATATTGTGTTTGAAACTGTCAGGATATGGTCAGAATAGAATTAAAGTAATAGGTGAATTGGAAAATACTCATTGTATCTTTTAGAGGGCATTCATATATTGAAGTGTTGTCTGTAGTCAAAGGGTTGTGTTTGAGTGTATGTGACTTTGTGTCTTTGCGTTTCTACTTACACACCACCCTCAGATTCCCTCACATGTGTGTGTTGATGTGAGCAGAGGGGGGATGTCACATAAGAAATGTCCTTTTTAATCAGGGGAAAAAATATAAAATGACTCGGGAGCAAGGCAAGCATATTAATGTGTCTCATTTGCATATGCTCGTCAGCCAGGATACGTTTATAAAAAACACAAACTGGATTCGTCAGTTCATTTCACATTATTCCATTGTCTATCTGCCTTTGTTATATGTTAAAGATAAAGGCAGAAATCAAATTGAAGAAAAGGGCAAGCTGCTATCTCCCCAAATGAGCAACAGCTCATCAACCTAGTTTAAATCACAGATTCTATTCTAAAAGGCAGGCGCTTCTGTAAAAAAGGCATATTCAAATAAGGTCTTCTCCAATAGACATGACTGGCGAAGAAAACTGGAGTGTCAAATTAAAGCAATATATAATCACTCATTTTTATATCACTCAAAGACTATATATATATGTATATATATATATATATATATATGTGTGTGTGTGTGTGTGTGTGTGTGTGTGTGTGTGCGTGTATTTGGTATGTGTGCATGTGTATATAAATGCATTAATTTTTTTCTTAAGATACAGCATTGTTTCAGACATATGACAATATATGTACGTTTTGAGCAGACTTTAGCTGAGGCACATTTAAGGGTTGAATATGAGCCATCATACCATAGCACACCCATTATATTCCTGATGAATTCAGTACATTTACTTTATGATGCTTGTGGAGAGAAATAAGAAGAACTCAAAGGGCAGCCCACAAGTGTCACATTCTTTCAAACACTAGAGGAAACTGGTCACAGTGAGTAATCCATGTTCTTAACATAAGAATCCACCATCAACAGTGTGTGGGAGAGAACAGTGACAACAAGAACAGACACCCCTTATGTCTACCAACATCCCACTGAGGGAGAGGAGGAAAAAAGAGAATATGTTTAACAAAGAAAGATGCTAAATGAACTAAGCGCAACTTAGTCTGCCATACTTCAGATATGTATAGTAAAGATATACATAGTAGGGGCTGTGTCTTTTGCACCTCTTGTGATTTCATATGTTTAACTTGAATGTGCAATGTCAATATCATACGGGATCTTACAAATGTCTAAAATTCTATTTAATTGATACATTTGAAAAAATCATGTAAGTTATTCACACTGTTTCTTATTTGAAATATTTTGATTAGTTTGTAAGCTATTGCGTGGTGGGTTAGGAATCAACCTAATATATTTGGAAACAATATTTTAAAAGTATTACTGCAATCTATGACTACAATATGTTCTTTGGCACAGGGAGAAAAAGCTCTAAGAAGGGCAGTTAAAGACAAATTATTTTATGAGACATGAGTAATAAACCCAGGACCAAAAGTGGATCTGGACTAACATAAAAAATGTATCACTTCTTAGTTGGGCCATTACCCATTTGTGTCAAAATTCTTCTTGCAGATCACTGCATGGCATTTTTAAAAATCCATCTAATAAACAGATCAAATCTGACACATTTTTGTGCTCTTTTTAAAAAAAATACACCATGGGTTTTCAGTAGTGTATTGCCCTCGTAATGTTTTGACAAACTCCAGCAATACGATCAGTTATGTTGTTCCAACTGAACTAATTTTCTACATCCTGGATACATGTTTTTAAAGAGTTGGAGATAGAGAAGAAGCCTGTTCGAAAGAGGATTTAGGAAAATTAATCAAGAACAAAGACATTCACACCAAATGTATTGCTCTTGAATAAAATAGCTCCGCCATTTTTTGTGGCTTTAAGTTAAAAATGTTGTTTACTGACTTACCCCCTCGGTTTTAAGTGGCATAATTGTAGTATTCAGGTAGTTTCCCTACTATGCCGCTGCTCCATTTAATCAAGGAGTGTAATTGGAGGGATTCTGATAGGATGGGCACAAGTACCTTAATTATACATGACTTAGTGTGTTTGCAGAGTAATTATTATAATCCAAAATGGTTTTACATTTTTTTAAATTTCAAAGATGTCAAAGCAAAATTCTAGGCCCTTGGCGCTAATAATTCCTTTTGTGTATCAAAGACAATGAATATGTACAGAAGTAAAACACACCAAAAAAATCCCCATTGTTTAGTAACATAAAAATCCTGAACATATTGATTAACTCCCAATATGTAATGTAACTATTTCTAAATGTTTGTCGAAAACTGTATGGTTTTTAAAATGTTACTTTCTTGTTTTTGTGATTTTTGCAGAATGGAGGAATCCGGTTTATGTCTTGGTGTATCATCACCAGTGCCTGACACCGATGCCCATCTCAGCAATGCAGTGTTAAATGGCCGTTATCCTATCAGTCAGAAGCTTCACCAACTTAACGCCCAGCTAGGACACGCCTTTCCTGACATACATCGTCCACAACAGATACCTGAAGAAAAAGCTGCCACTCCTTTAGATGAGAAGACACACCACGCAGCCCTGGCCAGTCAACCTATCAGCAGTCAGATGGCTCTACTAGCCAATCAACTCAACCGAGATATTAATGCAGGGGCATTGAGTGGGCTGAATGGGCGTGTAGATCTGCAACAGTTTCTTAATGGTCAGAACTTGGGCATCATGTCTCAAATGAATGATATTGAAGATGATGCTCGTAAGAATAGGAAATATCCCTGTCCATTGTGTGGGAAACGCTTTCGCTTTAACAGCATTCTGTCACTGCACATGCGTACACACACAGGAGAAAAGCCATTCAAGTGCCCCTATTGTGATCACAGAGCGGCTCAGAAAGGCAATTTAAAGATCCATCTCCGCACCCACAAACTTGGGAATCTTGGTAAAGGCCGTGGTCGAGTCCGAGAGGAGAATAGGCTGCTGCATGAGTTGGAGGAGAGGGCAATCTTGAGGGATAAGCAGATGAGAGGGAGTGGTAGTCTGCTTCAAACTGCTCAAACAACCCACCTGGGCCTCAGCAGCAGCTCTAACACTCTTCAGCATCAAATAAGTTCAGCCTGTGTCCCCCCTCCCCCATCTGGCCATGCCACTCCAGACACTCTTTCTCAGCCTTCTCCTTCACCCAAGCCGGCTGGCATACAAGATGAACAGCCTCTGAATCCAACAACAGGCTTTCGCTGTACCTTCTGCAAAGGAAAATTTAAAAAGCGTGAAGAGCTGGATCGTCACATCCGCATACTCCACAAGCCCTACAAATGTACTCTATGTGAGTTTGCTGCTGCCCATGAAGAGGAGCTGATAAGTCATGTAGAGAAAGCTCATATCACAGCTGAAACCACACAGGGCCAGGGTGGTGGAGGAGCTGGTGGCATGCAGATGGCCACAGAATTTCGCTGTGATGTTTGTGGCCAGGTATTCAGTCAAGCCTGGTTCCTAAAAGGTCACATGCGAAAGCACAAGGACTCTTTTGAACACTGTTGCCAGATCTGTGGCCGTCGATTCAAGGAACCCTGGTTCCTGAAGAACCATATGAAGGTGCATCTGAACAAGCTGGCCATCAAGAGTAAGCCACCACAGGCTCCTTGTGAGCAGGATATGGCTGCAGTTAATAGCATGGGCAACATGGCTCAAGAAGCTCATGCCAATCTTTATTCTCGCTATATCTCTTGTCTTCAGGGAGGTTTTCTTTCACCAGACAAACAGAGCCTAAGTGAGCAGCACCAAATGTTGGCAAAGGCAGGAATAGTAATGAAGGAAAAAGAGATGCTTGGGAAACTGCTAGGACCAATGGTTGGAGGTATGGGTCATGGACTGGGTGAGAATGAAAAGCGCTCCCTCCTTGGTTGTCTCAATCTTGTGCCACCACTCAAATCAAGCTGTATGGAGCGCCTCCAGGCAGCTGCAAAAGTAGCAGAGATAGACTCCCTAAATAGCTACCAGGCTTGGCAGATAATGGCTCGTGGTATGGATATTGACAGGGCTTTTATGCCTAAAGATCAGCAGCAGCACCAGCCCAATATGACTTTGGGGCAAGAAGATGAGATGGGGGGTTCAGGGGCTTTGCCCTCTTACTCAACGGACAAACAAGACTACTCCTTGATTGCTTCCAGTGACTGCTCTAAGCCAAAGCAAACCTCTGAGACCTTACCAGTAACTAAGGCCTCTGGTGGAACTTTGAATACTATGAAGGACGATGGGAGAGGCTTTGAAAGCCACCATGACTTAATGCCCCACCCTAGCAGTGCTGAGGCTTCTGGAGGCTTTGCAGGCTCAAACATTGACTATAGCCTGTCAAATCTGCCGAGCCTGAAGGAAAAGGCTTCTGAGTGTCCTGACTGTGGCCGGGTCTTCCGAACCTACCATCAAATGGTAGTACACTCCAGAATACATGGAAAAGACAGGAGAGGCATTGATGAAGGACTTCAGCAAGGTCTGGATGAACGACGTGGATCAGCCAGTGACCCTGAGTCCCAATCCATCAGCCGGTCCACTACCCCTGGGTCATCCAACGTGACAGAAGAAAGTGGTGCTGGAGGAGGTCACTCCCAAACAGGAAGTGTCCAAGATGACAGCCCACATCCTTCCTCACCATCCTCAGGTAAGAGGATAAATCGTGATTTTTTTTCTCCAGTTTTTCCACAGACAGATTTACACACACATACCATACATTTACATAACTAGAATAGTAAGACATTTTCTATTCACACATCATTTGTTTTGAATAAACAATATTTTGCATTATCCTTCAATCTGGATACGAGCTTACTTCTTACCCTTATTAATTTTGTTTCATGTGTTTGATAGTTTTTTTTGCGATTACTATAACATTTGTACATCTTCCACCAGGCTTACATTGCTGAAACCTTTTTTTGGTTAGTCTTTAAATCTACTATATTACAAAGTGACTCTTTGTGAGTCTGTGTCTATCTGTGGCCCTGTAATGGACCGGCAACCTGTCCAGGGTGCGACCCGCCTCTTGCCTATTGTCAGCTGGGAGAGACTCCAGTTATTCTACTAAGAATTGCGGTATATCCAATAAATGAAGAATGAATGACTTTGACTTGACTACTTGAATATACTTGAATATACTAATATCTGATATCTGCATTAACAGGTTAATTTTGTAAATACTGCAATAGGCTCCAATAAAAAACTTACATTCATGTTCAATAGAAGGCATTGCAATTATTTTTGTAATTAGATTAGATTTAGATTTGTAGACACATACATTGTCTTGTCATCATGGACATAGCCACAATGCTAATATTACTTAAGTCCCTGTAAATCCCTGAGAATGAAAGAAACACAAGTCAAGAAAAGATCAGTTTCACAGTTGAATCTTACAAAAAAAGAATTCAGACATTGAATTGCAGGATATCTTCCAAGGTCTTTGTTGAACATGAGTAAAATCCAGAACTACAGGGATGAATTTTTTTTAACTATAGTGATAAATAAATGAGTTAATAAACATGTTGATGAGAAGCTAACCCCTCCCACATACTTTAGCAGCAAACACAGGCTAGATACGTTTATGTTTAGTGGGATTAAGGGGGGCTCATTGCTAATGATTACACAAGTTTTTTAAAGGTAACTTTTGGTTGCTCAAGGCACAGTGCTGGTAGTAAAAATCATGTGGAGTAATTAGGTCATGAATATGCAATAATCAGAAGGTTTAAGCTAAACAAGACACTAATTAAAGATATACATTTTAAAGCAGGTTAAAAAATGTGTCAACTTCATTTGTGAAAGTGAGAATGTGCTCTTAAGTCTTATGCGAAAAAATGCAAATATATATAAATAGGAATCAGAGTCTTAGCTTAAGGGTGGAAGCAACTTAATTCCAACAGTGCAGATGAAATTGTTTATTTATTCACAGAGGCATGAAGTCCTTATCATGCCTGGTAGTCTGATGGGTTTGAACATGGGATAGGCAATGTTTATTTTAATCTAAGAAATAATAACACACAACCCCACACCCCAATTAGGAATTAATGAAAATGAGACTGAGATAAAAACGTTTTTTTCCTTAAAGAGACTATTAAACATAATGCTTTCTCTACCGGGTTGGGGCGTAAACAGATGTAATTATCCTCTGAATTTTAAAGATTTTCTTCCAAACCTCCAATCTGCTAGTCTTATTTCAGCATCTCAGCTCTGCCGAGGTTTTTGCAGATCATGTAACAAAAGGACAACAGTGAAATTAAAACTATTTTTTGAAAATTAATGAATTAATTAATTTTATCAAATATGTAAATAGACAAGAAAAATGTATTTGACATCAGAAATGTTTGCTATGCTTCTTTCAAACACTTCTTTTTTGTTTTGTTTTGTTTTTTCTAATCAAGAATTCTTAAATTGACTTGTAAGCTGTGAATAACACAGTGTGATTCACATTTGGAGCAAAGGGAATCTTAAATTAGAAATATTGATGTGTGAAAAATATGTGCGGAGTATGTGTTGTTGTATATATATATGTGTTGAGGGACATGGTAAACAGCATTTCACTCTCTTCTGTGACGAGCAGGATGTGGCCACCCATACCATTGTCTCTATCCTGATAACTTGTGATTCGCTCTAAATGCTTACACCTGCAATTGTGTGCACGTGTAAGCCTGCCACCTACCCACAGTTTAACTTGAATTATAGTAATCAACAATAACATCTCAACTGTGAAAGAAGGTCAACTTTGGTACTTTTGTCTGTGAGATGCTGCTTATTTAAAAGCAATAAATAAAAAAAGTGAAGAAGAGTTAAAAAAAAACAACAACAATGTCTTTGTCAGAGATGTCCTTGTTAATTTCTTTGTTTATTAAACAAACAAAACAGTTTTAACAAACCTTTGGTGCATTTTATTTGCAATTATGATAACAATTTTATTTATTAAAGATAAAGACATACATTCATGTATGTCCTTTGGTTTCTACCTTTTGTTTGGTTATCTTTGACATGATTTTCTCTATTTCCCAGTAATGTTTAGGTTTCAAAGTAGCTATATTGGGAAACACTAAGGCAAGTAGACATCAGAGAATGGATCAGAACAATAACCATTGATTAAATACAAGTTATCACATCCAGAATTGCCTTATGCAAAAGAGAGGACACCCTCTTCTTAGGAATTAATAAAACTCACCATGGAAAATTCTCATTTTGCACATTAGTACTCTCCTATTCTGCACAATATAACTAAATCTGTTTAAAATTGGCTTTACAGCATTGATGTGAGGCTTAAAGTGGTAGAAGTCTTTCATGCATGTATTTCCAAAAACTTCCCACTAACCTTAAACCCCTCTCCCACTTCATTGCTTCTGGCTCTGAAAGACTCCATACACTCCCTCTGGCTCCTTGCTTCTCTCTGTCTCCCTGGAGAATCCCCCATGTCTACATTTTCTTTTACGTTTTAACATGGCAGGGATTAGTCTGCATATCCCTGGTCTTACCATGGCTCAAACAAACACGCAAAATGCTTGCTCCATACAAATTGAAATTGGATTTGCCAGCTTGATGCCTAAGGTTATAAAGCATGGATATTCATCTAATTGCAGCAGTACAAGGGGGGTGTAATTACACATGCAGACAAACGGTTACAGTGTAATTGCTGTGTCACTGAAACAGGAATAAAGTAGAGCTGAGGTCCAGGCCACTAAACGTATAGATCAAAGTTCAAATTAGTAAGCTGTTATTGATGGATAATACTCAAACTATAATTTATGACAGCAAGGGGAATCTATTTTACACTTGCTGATATAAAAAAATGGAATAACCACCTAACTTTTAAAATAATTAATGTATTTCTTAAATGGATGCATGCAAACATATGAAGTTGATAGATTCAGTAAATATTCTACATGCAAATGAATAACAGTATCAATTAAAAATCCAAGATTCCAAAAACAGATTACTGAACTTAATAAGAATCACATCATACCCAGGCTATAAATATTTGCTCACTTAACTACTTAGCTGTTAGCCAGTGAATCATATCAACAAACTAAGAAAATATGTACACAACAGACAGTCAAAGATACAATTGTTCAATATTTTTTCCATTGGGTTTATCCCTGCTGATGCTCAAAACAGCTCGCCAGGAATGAATCATAAGAGAAATGTGTTGACAAAAAGATATGTTTTTCCTCTGCTGCAATTGCCTAAGCAAAGAAGGTGACGTGTTCACTCCACGCTGTCTAGTTTGTGCCAGTTGATAAAATTGCAATGAACTGAAAATACTTGCAACTTTATCTTTCATAGTAAGGGTTTTAAAATAGTTCCCGTGTTTAAAATAATTTGGTTTGAAGATTAAAAGCATTTTAACAGGCAAAAAAACAAGAAAAGTGCTCTACAAATTAGGTTAATTAGCATTTTATCTGTAATGATGACCCCTAATGATGAAAAACATAAATACACCTAGTACTCCATCCCCCTGACGTGGGCCACCGTGACCCCACTCTGGAGCCAGGCCTGGAGTTGGGGCACGTTGGCGTGCGCCTGGTGGCCAGGCTTTTACCCATGGGTCCCTCTTCCGATAGGCTTACCACCCATGGGAGGGGCCAGAGGGGTTGGGTGCCGTATGGAACAGTTTGCGGCCGGAGACAGGGACCTAAGCCAACCAGAAGCTGACCCTTGGGATGTGAATTGTCACCTTTCTGCTGGGTTAAGAGCCTAAGTTGGTGTGCGAGGCGGAGACATTCCAACTAGATATAGTCAGTCTCACCTCGACGAACAGATCTGGCTCTGAAACCAGTCATCTTGAGAGGGATTGGACACTCTTCTGGAGTTACCCCCCATCTTGGTTCCCATTGGGGTTCACCCCAGTGAATGAGAGGCTAGCATCCCTTCGCCTACTGTGGGGGGACGAGTGCTGACTGTTGTTTGTGCTTCTGCACATGACAACAGTGCAGATTACCCAACCCTTTTTGGAGTCCTTAGATAGGGTGCTGGAGGGTTCCCCTCCTGGTGACTCAATTGTTCTACTGGGGGATTTCAATGCTTATGTGGGCAATGACAGTGAGACCTGGAGGGTTGTGGTTGGAAGCAATGCCCCCCACCCCAGCTTGAGCCTGAGTGGTCTTTTGTTATTGGATTTCTGTTTTCAGCGTGGATTGTCTGTAACGACAATCCAAGGTGCCTAGGCCGCAGCTCAAGGATCAACTTTGTTGTCGTTTCATCTGATGTTTGGCCACTTGTCTTGGACACTCCCTTGAAGAGGGGGTCACAGCTTTCCACTGACCACTACCTGGTGGTGAGTTGGCTCTGACGGTGGGGGAAGATGCCAGTGAGGCCTAGACCTATTGTGAGGGTGTGCTGGGAGCGCCTGGCAGAGTCCCCTGTAAGGTGGAGCTTTAACTTCCACGTCCGGGAGAGATTCGATCACGTTCCGAGGGAGGTGGGGGACATTCAGTCCGAATGGGCTATGTTCCGCACATCCGTTGTCGAGGCAGCTTACCAGAGCTGCAGTCACAGGGTTGTCGGTGCCTGTCGTGGTAACCCACGAACCCGCTGGTGGACACCGGCGGTGAAGGATGCGGTCACGCTGAAGAAGGAGTCCTATCGTGCCTTCCTGTCCTGTGGGACCCCAGAGGACGCTGATGGGTATCGGCAGTCCAAGCAGCATGTGGTTTCCAAGGCAAAAACTTGGGCGTGGGAGGAGTTCGGGGAGGCTATGGAAAAGGACTTCTGTACGGCTTTGAGGCGATTCTGGTCCAGGATTGGGTTGGCTAATGCGACCCTGCAATGTCGCGTGGACATCAGGGGAAGTCTTGCTGGATTGGTAGACTGGGGTGGTGGTCCCCCTATTCAAAAAGGGGAACCGTAGGGTGTGTTCCAACTATAGGGGAATCACACTCTTATTCCTCCCTGGGGAGGTCTACTCAGCGGTTCTGGAGAGGAGGGTCCATCAGATAGTTGAACCTTGGATTCAGGAAGAGTCGTGTGTTTTCCTTCATGGCCGTGGAACGCTGGACCAGCTCTATACTCTCAGTGGGGTCCTGGAGGGTCCATGGGAGTTCGCCCAACCCTGTCCACATGTGTTTTGTGGACTTGGAGAAGGCATTCGACCATGTCCCTTTGGGGATCCTGTACGGGGTGCTCCGGGAGTCCGGGATTTAATCTTTACTTTTTGCAGATGATGTAGTCCTGTTTGCTTCATCAAGTCCTGATCTACAGCTCTCATTAGAGTGGTTCCCAGCCGAGTGCAAAGTTGCTAGGATGAAAATCAGTGCCTCCAAGTCTGAGACCATGGTCTCTCACCGGAAAAGGGTAGAGTGCCTCCTCCGGGTTGGGGTGGGTTGTCCTTCCCCAAGTGGAGGAGTTCAAGCATAGACATATATATACGTAAATGCCGTGTTGAGCCTGCTGGTACTTTGCAGCGATACGTCAACGCGTCCACCATCTTGGATGTGGCAGAACTCCCCGTAAACTAATAAAAGAAAATAGACTGAACTCCATAAAGTACCTTTCCACAAAGTTCTTTAAGTCAATGCACCTTATTCACCCATTCACACACACACTAATATATCTGGGAAGCAAGTAAAACAAAAAAACCCTCTGTAACATTTAAAGTGATGATTATAAATTTTTACTCCTGATGTTTAGGATATAAGGAAGCACCAAACTTGTACTCTGTACTTTTAATGAGTGTATTCAGCTACTAATACGTGTAATATGAATATTGAAATATTGATATTTAACATGTAATCTATGTCCATAATAACCAGTACCTGAAAAGTAGATGTGACTTGAGGGTTTTTTGGATCAAGAGCACAAACATTTACATTTAACTGATTTGATATATATATATATAT